CTCCCATCTCTGACCGGGGGCTATATCTGAGACTCCTCCCATCTCTGACCCCCTCCCCCTTGGCAGTTGGGCTATAGAGACCCCTATGCAGCAAGCGAGTTTGAATCAGACGATGGATCGACTGCAAAGAAACAGGTTAAAATTAAAAATATTGTCAAAAGAGTAAGAACGTCATTGAACGTAATGTGTGCTTCAATGTTGCAGAAATAATAGAGTTGCATGGTAAATTAAAGAATTTGAAATGAAAAACATTCTAATTCAAGCTGTATTTGTACAATTGTTAGCAAACTAGGTGTTAAATGTTGTGGATATGTGTTTTGAATAAATAAAGACGCTTCAAACCGTTTTTGAAATATAAAAAAAGAGTATATTTTTGACAAACTTTCTCAGCGTTGATTTTGACGTTACAATATTGGTAAACCGTGCTGCGTGGAAACAAAACATGTTGCTTTAAATTTTGACTAACATGAGTTCTATCTAATCAAATAAAATGAAACTTCACACTTCAACAAAGTAAATGTTTATGTTAACGAAAATGAGTTGATCTATAATCTTGTAATAATTATATGACGATGAGAAGCATTGTCTACGTATTTTTTGAATGACCCTCGTACATGTATTGAGATTTCTTGAAGCATATTTTAAGGCAGTTTTCAGTATGAAATCATTCAATGTTATGAACAAAATAAAAACACGTTCATCAACAGAATAATTGAACAATTGCAGAAATAGCATTCGTTAGAATGAGCATGATGAACTTATAGATAAACGTGGTAGGTTTTCATTTCACACAAAGATTGCCCATGACCCAAGGCTTTGTCATTACCTTGAGACAATGTCATTTTACGAAGTTGAAGTTCACTGGAAGAAAAAAATTTCTTAATCCGTGTTCAGTCAATATCTTTCTTATGGATAAACTTGGTAGGTTCTCATTTCACACAAAGATTGCCCATGACCTAACGGCGTGTCATGACTTTGACCCAAGGTCATTTGGGGAACTTTAAGGTCACTGGAAGAAAAACTTCATAATTTATGTCCGGTCCACATCTTTCTTATGGATAAACTTGGTAGGTTTTCATTTCACACAAAGATTGCCCATGACCCAAGGGTGGGCCATGACCTTGACCCAAGGTCTTTGGGGAACTTCAAGGTCAATAGAAGAAAAATTTCATAATTCATGTGTGATACATATCTTCATTACGGAAAAACTTACTTCTGAAAAATCCAGTGGTGGGTACTTTGTCCCGTTTGGACAGTTTTAGTTTGTATAAGTTTGATTTGCATTTGTTTACTTCTCATGAATTTACGGCAAATTAAACTAGTCGTGTGATCTGTGAATTAATTTCTAAAAGTTTATCAAATTTATATTGCACTAAAATTTGACTCCAAGTAATATTCATCATTGAAATATATCTACACCTGGACATGTTCTGCATATTACTTCCCCATGCCAATTTTAATGCATGCATGCTTACTGCTTCCCAGTACTTTCAGTACTTTGATTTTATCAGTATTTTGTACAGTAAAACTTCCTACTCCTTACTTACACATTTACAAGAATGAAAACTGCATTGTTAAAAAACTATCATAATATAATTTCGTCTTGATTTTACTATTTTTAGTTGCTTTCTATGTACAGGCATAATATAAGTTATAAACCCGTAATTGGATTTCACTTTTTATTTACTTTTTTGGAACAGTCACTTTTGGACAGAAAATAACAGATTCAGAAAATGGTTTGAAGGCAGATGGTTAAATAGATAAAGGGTAAGATAGGTATAATATTTGTACATTGTATACACACATAACGATGTGTCATATGTCCACAAAAAATTTATTTGCTGAGTACATGTAATTTTCTTAATTGTAGAGATGGGTGCAAGCTTTCCGACAGAAGAGATACAACACTTCTGTTAATACTAACAACGGTGTTGAGAAACAGAACAAGACCCTGAAATATGAATTTCTTGAGGCAAAGAAAGCAAAGTCAATGTGTCATCTTCTTACAATTATGTGGAATGATTTCCTTCCAGACATCTAACAAAGGTAATAAACCTTTATATATAAAAGCTGCATTAATGGTGCCGCAATATATACATGTATGTGATAATGTTTAATATTATTTATATGCAGTTATGCCACTACCGGGTAATTACTTAAAAAATCATTTACCTTATTTTGGAATTTCAGATGAATTTGATATCTGCAGAGGAATCAATGAGGTACAATCCTGACATCCCCACTTTCCTAATTAGTCGTCCAAGAAATGTTGTAAAGCATTGCTTTAAAAGATAGGAAGAAGCAGGAAACATTTCTGTAGATGACATAGGTTCCTTAGGAGAAGACCAATTCCTGGTAAAGAGTCAGGTTCCAGAGAGCTCACAAGTTTATTGTGTCCGCTTTTCAGCATCCGAATTTCCAGTACCATCTTGCGACTGTGAGGACTGAGCCAAGCATCATTTGCCTTGTAAACACATTTTTGCTGTCATTAGAAATGTTTCTGGTTGGCAGTGGGAGAAACTACCTGAAGAGTATAGGAACAATCCCTTCCTGACATTAGATGAGAGTGTTCTTTATGAGTTCAATTCACCATCTTATGTTATTCACCCTGACAGCAAAGAAGACCAAGAGTCAAGAAGAGAGACCAATACAGACAGCAACATTCAAGATATTATTTTACCATCCAAATCTAGACTTTCTAAAGTAAGATCCAACATCAGCAGCTACTGTCAAATGATGAGACTATTCATATTCTTGTAAGGACGAAGAAATTTTGGAAACTCTCGGCTATAAATTGAAGGATACATTAGATTGTTTAACAACTAGTCTCAGCGAAACTGATGTACTCCCTGTAGATAATCCACAAAAGCAAATGACCCACATTTCAACAACACCAGCAAAGCGAATAAATAAACTTTCTCTATCAAAGAAAAGAAAAAAAAGAGTTATGAGACATTGTTCATCTGCAGAGAATATGCGAAAACATACATCCAAGGGTGTACATGACCTGTTATCACATGGTAATGCATATGGAAAGTGAAATGAGAATCTTCTTTTTGATAAATGCATGTAAGAATATATTGTAAGAAAAATAATGATGGTTATTTTCTTATTGAAGAGAGCAGTGAGGTGGCATAGGAGATCATTTCCATTGAAGATGATCAGTATTCACATTTAGAAGAAAATGGTACAATTTTCAACTTGGATACATTTTCAAAAGTCCAATATAAAATGAGATACAGCTCTATTCAGTAAAAGAGTTTAAAATCTGTCTGGCTTAAACCAATGATTTATTGTTTTATATATTTTTAACTTTAGAATGAAGGGTATATTAAAGAAAACGCACAAAGGTACAAAGCAGGTGAAGAAGGTACATTTTCCAGATTCTGGTACCATGTCACAGACAGTTGCAAAGTATCATGAGATGGATTATAGGGAAGGTTTGTGCTTTTATTCAGTCCCAAGAATTTCATAAGAAGGCTGATATCTAAAAACTCAATTATCTTTACAGCTTTAGAAGAGGTGAACAAAATTTGGAATATGGAAAAAGGCACTTGATTTTTTATTCGAATAATGGTATATCACCTTCGTCCACACATTCCATTTCAATTGAATTGTTTAGTACAAATTTAGTTTTTTCCTACGTTTTAATCTTAATACACAGACACACGTTATGACTAATACAGGTATAAGAATAGAGATGATTGATTGATTGATTTTATATTGTATAACGTCCCTCTCGAGAATTTTTCACTCATAAGGAGACGCCACCACTTGCCGGTGGAGGGCTACAAATTTTGTCCTATGCTTGGCACTCAGGGCCTTTGAGCAGTGAGGGATCTTTTTCGTGCCAACACCTTCTGCGACACGGGGCCTCGGTTTATACGGTCTCATCCGAAGGACCGGTCTCCACGTCCCGCAGTGGGATTCGAACCCGCAACGTAAGGATTGACTCCTTACTTCGCGACTCTAGAGCAGACGCTCTAACCACTGCGCCACGCGGGCGACGAATAGCGATGAATAGATAGTCAATTTCATTTTTGATACCCTTGTCCGAACTGCTACTAGGGATCGGGTCCCTCGTTGAACCAGATGTGATTTCGTCGTACTGCTGGGGGAAGGGAATGTACTGTTAAATTTATCGTCTCTGTGTGAACTGGGGGAGGGGGTGTATTTACAAAGGTTATGTCGGGGGAGGGGGTGGTTGAGGTGTTCATAGTTCGTCCGTTTGTCTTACCGGAGGACGTGAGTGTAGTCGTCATGACCGCTTTAGTATTGTTACGGGAGGGGGCTGTAAAAGTTAAGTTTTCGTGTGGCATGGACGACAGGGTGGTTAAGTTCGTTATGCTACGTCCGTGCGTTCTGAGAGGGATGGTGTGTAGTGTTGTAGGTGTGACATGGGGTGTTACGTCTCCGTGTGTACTGATGTCGGAGGATGTAGTAGTTGTCGTCAGAGAGGAGTCCGTGTTTTTGCTCGACTCGAACGTGTTTGTATCTGTAGATATTAACATAACAATAAAATAAAGAACCTAGACTTTATTAATAGGTTAAAATAGTATGAAATACCAATTTTGTAAAATCAACAAGATGTTAATTGTAACAATAAATATTGAAATCATCAACAACAATCATAAAGCATCATCAGACCTGTAGAACTTATATAACTTAACAATATCTAAGTAAGAAGAACAGATTCTACTGATCTGAGAGACTTTTAAGACATTGACTTACGGATTTCGCTTGACTGCATGTTACTGGTAGTGGTGTCTGAAAAAAAATTACCTTGTGTAAAATAAATCACATAAAATCACACGCATAACTCCATGTAAATATTGTTTTTTGATGCCATATTTGTATAAAATCATTAAAATAGTAATCCAAGGGGGGAAAAAGTGATGTACCACACTCGAGCTTCGCAATTCCGTTATGGAACACCTCCTTGCACGGCATCTTGTGATAATGTGCGACTCAAAGCGTGAGAGACTGCTTTTCTCTCGACGATGCAACCCCTCATTCACTGCAGGTACGGTTATGTAACCCCCACCTGCTCCAGTGTAAGACTTCCAAACAAAGCTATACTTTTTACGGCTGAAGCTAAAGCTATACAACTTGCTTTTGAATATATTTATACCTCGGATGAAAACCCTTTACAATATTTTCAGATTCGCTTTCGTGTTTACAGTCTATACACAACATGAACAGTGATCATCCGTACATTTTGGATATATTAAATAAGTTCTATCATCTTGCTAAACAGGGTAAAAATGTCGAATTTGTTGGATTCCAAGCCATATTGGTATTCCCGGTAATAACAAGGCTGACAGTGCTGCAAAATCTGCTCTTCAATATGAAATCGTACCTTTTAAAATTCCCTACATAGATCTTAAGTACTTTGTGAAACTGTATGTTAATTCTCTTTGGCAAATCTATTGGGATTTTTGTGATGGTCATAAACTGTATTCAATACAAAACAAAGTTAATCAATCATCCGACATCGGTCTGAAACGTCAGGACGAAGTTATTTTTTCGAGATTAAGAATTGGACATTCAAGGTTTACCCATTCCTATTTAATGAGCGGGGAACATCAACCTGAATGCATATCTTGTGACTGTGCAATAACTTTAAATCTTATACTTCTAGAATGTTCTGATTTCACACCTGTTCGAAATAAACTTTTTAATGGTGTAAAAACGATGCATGATCTTTTTGCAAATGTAACTCCTAGCGCTATTTTACAATACCTGAAGGATAAAGATTTTTACAATAAGATTTAAATGTCAATATTTTTATGAACATTATAATCTTTTTTTTTGTATTTAACTGTTTTTATTTTCAAATTCAAAGTCCGTCGGATGGGACGTTAAATGGTGCCCCGTGTCAAGGATAACAACCCCCTTGACACGCAAAAGATCGCTTCTCTGGAGTTCGAAAAAGAGTAGGCTCACTTGGGGCCGCCAGAGAAGCCAAAAATTTTCAAAACCGTTCATACAGTATTTAAATTTCTCCGCCGAAATATGGCCGAAATATTGCCGACTCGGCGTAAAAAAAACAATAATCAATCAATCAATCAACATATCCTGATCCTTCTATGTTAGTTTGGTAAAAATCTGCCTGGCTGTTCTGCAGAAGAAGATTTTTTAGTTTCTAGTACTTTTGGTTGGGGGGGGGGGTTGAATGATTGATTATTGTTTAACGTCCCTCTTCAGAATTTTTCACTCATATAGAAACGTCACCGTATGCCGGTGAAGGGCTTCAAATTAAGACCTATACTCGGCACTCAGGGCCATTGAGCAGTGAGGGTTCTTTATCGTGCCAGCGCCTACGGTGATACGGGACCTACGTTTTTAAGGTCATATCCGAAAGACCCGTGACTTTCACTTCTAGTGCCAAGCGTTTGGCGAAGGAACAGTCACTACCTTTGTTTACGTCTAAGGTATGACGTGGCACCGCGAACGAGATTCGAACCCGGACCTCCCGATCAAGAAGCGAACGCTCTTCCACTAGGCTACCGTGACCGGTGGGGGGGGGGGGTGTAATAAAAATTGTGTCTTTAAATAATTATGTTCACACATTTTAAAATTCATGTTGAAGAAGTAACTTGGATATTCAGGTGGTAAAAGGAACCTTGGAGACTCCAGTTGTTGAAGAAACCTTGTTCACACCAGTGGAAGATGGAACCTTGGACACTCAGGTGAAAGAAGGAACCTTGGACACTCCAGTGGTAGAAGGAACCTTGGACACTCCAGTAGTAGAAGGAACCTCGGACACTCCAGTGGTAGAATGAACCTTGGACACTCCAGTGGTAGAAGGAACCTTGGACACTCCAGTGGTAGAAGGAACCTTGGACACTCCAGTGGTAGAAGGAACCTTGGATACTCAGGTGAAAGAAGGAACCTCGGACACTCCAGTGGTAGAAGGAATCTTGGACACTCCAGTGGTAGAAGGAACCTTGGACACTCCAGTGGTAGAAGGAACCTTGGACACTCCAGTGGTAGAAGGAACCTTGGACACTCCAGTGGTAGAAGGAATCTTGGACACTCAGGTGGTAGATGGAACCTTGGACACTCAGGTGGTAGAAGGAACCTTGGACACTCCAGTGGTAGAAGGAACCTTGGACACTCCAGTGGTAGAGGAAACCTTGGACACTCCAGTGGTAGAAGGAATCTTGGACACTCAGGTGGTAGATGGAACCTTGGACACTCAGGTGGTAGAAGGAACCTTGGACACTCCAGTGGTAGAAGGAATTTTGGACACTCCAGTGGTAGAAGGAATCTTGTTCACACCAGTGGTAGAAGGAACCTTGGACACTCCAGTGGTAGAAGGAATCTTGGACACTCCAGTGGTAGAAGGAACCTTGGACACTCAAGTGGTAGAAGGAATCTTGGACACTCCAGTGGTAGAAGGAACCTTGGACACTCCAGTGGTAGAAGGAATCCTGGACAATCAGGTGGTAAAAGGAACTTCGGACACTCACTTATATCTTGTAACTCACGTTGCTGGATGTAGTTTGTAGCAGAATAAATAAATGTATATACCCAACCCTGTGTTAAGTTATTGTCAAACTCAATATTGTGGCAGTGGTGCTAATACTTTTCTAAGTTAAAAAGGACTACCCAAATACTAACACTACTGGACGAAAAAAGTGCTGAGAATCCCAAATTTTACTGATAATGTTTGATAATTACTGATACGGTGCTGTTCTTGCTGATAATTACTGATATTTACTGTTATTAATACTGTTGTTGCTGATAATTTTAGTTGTTGCTGAAAAATACTGATAATTACTGTCGTTCTTTACTGTGGAGTCTGATAAATACTGTTGAGGTACTGTCGCTGCTGAGAATTACTGATAATTACTGTTGAGGTACTGTCGATGCTGAGATTTACTGATAATTACTGTAGTCATTGTTTTTAACCTGGGAATGGATTAAAATAGCCTGAGAAATGATTGTTTTTTTTAAATAAAGTATTTTAACAAATTCATTACAGTCAATTACAAAATAAATTATTCTAAATAAAAAAAGTCACGTTTTATTAATTTGTTTTCAGTTTTCAGCTATTAATTTCATTATAATTATTTTTAGACCATAATGTTAACGTAAGCTTTCATAAATGTTTATGTTTTTTCTTTAAATTTCTCCTTACACGTAGATGACATTATCTGAGGAAAATTATTCTGTTGTATTTGCAGTGCTTTTTCTTCCCAAGTACTTTTTGAAAAAGTTTAATTTTTGTTCATAAAGGTTAAAAAAATCTCATCTCATATTTTTTACTCACATGTATGTGTACTGTCATCAAAAGCTTTTTGTGGGTATCTTTAATACTTCAATACAGTCAATGGTTGTAAATATCAATTTATTTTACCGTGTGGAGAACTGAAAATGTATGAGCACATTAAGTTGAAAACGCCCCCCCCTTTTTCCATTTACTTTTAAATTAAGCTCTCATTTTAACAAGACAGTATTAAATACATGTATTTGTAATAAAATCTTGTCTTGAAGCGTACAGTTTGTTATTTTATAGAAGAATGTGACAGGGTTAAATAATTAAATTGAAGCATCTTTAATTATTTTTTTTATATATTATGTAGACAGCGCGCTCTAGTTCTCCGATGTCCTCCCTGCGAATTTTATTCTGTCGCTTTCTAGCTTTCTCTCTCTCTCTCTCTCTCTCTCTCTCTCTCTCTCTCTCTAAATTATTTTTTAAGGCTTAAGCATTGTACACTACATGACATAAATCTTATGCAGTGTGATTTTCAGTCAATGAAATACACGTCTTTCTTTAGGCTAATTCTTTTTTCATTGTATACAGTTTTAAGTCTATGGGCATATGGCTTCTTATATTATGCGTCACTCCTTAAACATGTATATATGCGGTCAGTCAATTAAAAAACAAAATAAAATAAATCATAACTTGAATTAACTTTTTCCATTAATGCAAACTTTGTGCTTGTTGTTCTGGAACTTACATGTCAACCACGAGTAAAAGTTCTACTTTCGTTTTAGAATCGGGTCAATTATTAGAAAAGTACATTCTGCCATAGGGATATCGTTACGGCTTGCGTTTTTGTAAAATTAGAATTTTGTGCAGAGATTATAATTTTTTTTTAATTCCATTTTTGTCCGAGACCTTTGTATAAAGGAACAGTACAGACTTGGTGCTTATTTATATGATTTTACTTGATTGTAGCACAAAAAGGAGGGGGTGAAATACTGTTTACAAGCCGATAGGGCAAGGTCTGTTCTTTAGTTGTGTGTTTTAAAAGTCATGCAAGTTATGATATTATACTTATCGATTTTTTTATATGCATGAATAGAATTATTTTAGAGAATCAATTGCAATGAACCATACAAATTTCAGAACTAAAGCAATTAGAATCTGACATTTATTCATGAGTGCGATACACAGTTCGTCATGTTTCTGACATTCAAAATCCATACATTTTTTTTCTCGGGTTAAGCGAAGTGGAGTTTCCCTGCATCTGAATTGTGAACAATTAATGCTAATATTATTTCAAAAAAGTGCTTCAGTAAACAATCTTTCTCTTTATATCTATATGATTGCATATTTTGCACACTATTTTTTTTTTTTATAAAAAAGTGAAGTCAATTTCTCGTCTACGTATTTACGGGTCCCAAACCATCGTTAGCAGAGATTCAGAATTAAAAATACATGTGACCACCTCCCCCGGGATATTCTTTTATCTGATAAATAAAATATACTCCCCGGCCTAAATTCCCTTACTTCGCATTTATAGCAACCTACAAAAAAATTTTGTTTATTTTCTTATTCACGCATGTCTTTTAGACCTACTGTTATGTATAAAATCACCTACATTTTATATGTTTTTGTGGTCTATGTATACTAATGTAAAATGGTAAAAAGATTCAAATAAATGATTGATTGATTGAAGAAATATGCGTAAAACTAAAAAAATGAAATTAGATACTGAAGAAAGATAGATCTTTGAGAGTTGAAATAATAATTAAAATAAGTCTGTACAACGTACATGATGTACATGTATATATCTTTTTATTATTATTTTTATAGTACCAAAGTGTTCTATTCTAAATATTTTTTCTATCAATTTTATTCGTCATCAAATTCAATGTTACGGAATTTTTTTTTCCGTGAGACCATAAACTTAAAGATTGTTCCAAAGTAGCGAGTACATCATGTACATGTACAGTGTAGGTAGTTTGTTTATTGATAACACCGGTAGCCGCAGACGAAGAACAATAGGTAATTAGTGCCCATTGTTACGCTGACCACTACAATTTGCATGGAATATACAAGTTGTACCCCGTTCTACCCCGGGGCTTCAGACATGTACACAATACAGCCAAATCACAGGTCGATCACCGATTTCTGATCAATTGAAATCAATTTAAGGGTGTTTTCCTTTCAACTTTTTACCATGCAAAATTAAAATCGATCAATTTGATCATATACTATAGCTAATAGTAACATATTAAATTAAGTCTCATTTCAGTTCTTATTTCCCATTCCATAAAATCAAATAAAAAAAATGAGATTTCAAAACTGATTAAATAAAAAATGATTTTGTATTTAAATTTTAAGAGAAAAACTAAACACATGTACCTTTGCACTATTGATTCTTGACCTCTAATTTTTAACCAGCTCGACCCATTTTCTGGTTGCACATGCATACAGTGTGTACTTGTAAAGAGTTTAATTCTTGGACGATCTAAAAACGTCTACATAACATTAAAATAAATGAATAAATAAATTATTAATTAAAATCAGTGCCCACAGATTGAACATATTCAAACCTGTTTTCACCTCTTAGTTACTTTTTAAAAGGGATAAAATTTCTAATTTTGAGCAAATTTTCAAACATTTCGACAGAAAGAGACCGGAAAACTGAACATTTAACAAGATAAATACGAGGGTTGTTCGAAAAGTTCGTGGACGATGTAATTTTCTCCGAAGATATGTTGCAATTCGAAAAATTTTGTATATTACATTAAATGATGATATATTTTGAGATAATATGCAAAATTTCAGTCAGTTATACTTACATTTATTAAAGTTAAATCAATTTTTCTGATACATTGTCAATGCCCGCGGAGCAACTGTGGCGTATTTTTTGACGTCGTTACGTCACTATGTTTTATGAATAATCTTGCATCTTCTTAGAAACTCTTTCGATGCGATGATCCGCCGATTTTTTTTTCATCAAAGTAATTTCGGCACCAAACGAGTTCAAACCTTTTCAAATCCAAGAGGTTTTGTGACTATTTCATGTGCCATAGACGTATTTCAATTTTACCCCTTTATCCCTTACTGCTATAATCTTCTATCTAAAGTTGTCAAGATATAACATTGATGCCGTCAAGTCAGAATCAATAGTTGGAGGTTTTTCTGACTTTTCGTCATCCAAAGTTTCACATCGTCAAGCTTAGTCTTTAAATCGTTTATACAACTTGCACACCATTGATCATGATATTCTTTTTATCTATCCTCACTTCTTCTTGCAATTGTTTTGTCTCAAAAGTAGTTTTATCTGCTACCACGCAAAATTTTATCACAGTGCGCTGTTCTGTGACGTCCACTTCTGACGCCGTTTTTAACCGTGAATTGAGACCGTTCCCCTTCATTATAAATCGATAATTTGACATCCACTTGCTCAAAATAACTGAAACTTCTCAAATATGACGATTGCCTATTATTTTGATCTCATATTTAATATCATAGATTTTCGAGCGCAAAATAAAAAAAAAAATCTGTAATGACAAAATCGACTTAAAATATTCAAATACGCAGAAAACGAGGATGCTCCGCGACCCCCTGCTAAAGAAATTAGAAAGGCTGTGATATTTTAATTTAATGGACCAAAAAACTGAAAAGTTTTTTTTTTTTACTAGAAACATGGTAGAATAAAAGTATACAAAGTTTCACTTCAAACATACAAATACAGCGGTCAGTTCCGAACCCGTCCACGAACTTTTCGAACAACCCTCGTATAATTGTTTAAAAATTTCGAGAGAAAAAAAGGCCTTCAAAAACAAAATATTGTCCAAACTCGACCAGTTGACCTAGTGAAAACGGAACAAATTCAACATTTCTAACCTGCAGGAAACTTTTTTTATCCCGATTTTTTTCCCCATCCATTAAGAACTTTTTTCTTATTATTGAAAAAAAAGATCACCGATCTCCCTACATAATTTTCTTGGAGTCGGGAAAGGCGGCGATGGATATTTTTTAAGATAGCATAATATTCTTTTTATTTACAGTTTATTTTTCAATAAGAGCTTATGCAAAAGTAAAATCCCATTTTTTTTCTGCAGTTATTTTTTTTCTATTAATTCTATTTCTATATATTCATTCTATTAATAATTCATTTGATTATTGTCAAAATTTTCACAAACGTAATGTAGAAATTGAGATCAGCATACATACATACAGTCATGTAATTTTGTCACAAGCATAACATTTAAAGAAATACGAAAATTTTGTCATGATAATTTAAGTAAAAGAAAGTAATAATTG